CCCCAAAACCCCAAAACCCCAAAACCCCAAAACCCCTGTTGATAGCATAAATATTGAAAGATGCTCCAAATCTTTTTAGAACCAGTCTTCTAGATATACTTCAGAACTTGCTTTTCTCGCTAGTTGTTGCAAGGTACAGTCCATTGTGACTAATGAACTCATTGCTTCTATGATTGGAACTATCCTTGCAAGGACTCATGGGTCATGCCTTCCTTTAGCTTCGAGAATTTTAGATTCTCCCTTAAAATTGCATGTTTGTTGTTCAACAGATATTGAAGATACTGGTTTGACTGCTACTCTGAAGTAGATAATGTTTCCATTAGTAATTCCACCAAGAGTTCCTCCTGCGTTGTTAGTCTTTGTTTCTAAATGAGGATTTTTGGATTTTATCTCTGTTGAAATTTTCTCATGTTTAATCTCCTCCTCTGATCAACTTGAGAATAAATCATTATGAGCAGATCCGAAAAGTTTAGTACCTTCAAATCCAGAGCCAAATTCAAACCCTTTGGTCGCTGGCAAGGATAGCATCGCCATTCCCAAGAGCGCTTCAAATTTTTCAAATCAAGGTTCACCAAGACCTTTGGGACAGTTTACGATCATTCCAGTGGCAATGCCACCTACAGAATCATTTTTCCCTTTAGCTTCCTTAATCTTCTCAATCATTTTGACAGCAGTTGCTGGATGGGGACATCTGATATTAATTATCTCCTCGAATTTATAAATTTCATCTTGGTTCTCACATAAAAATTTCTCTTCCTCAATTTGTTGATAAATCTCATTGACAGTTTGATCGAGCTGCTTGATCTCTTTGCCTTGCTGGTCTCTTAGCACAGATTGGTAATCGATGTAGGCTCTTTTTTCTTCGTTTTGTAGTACAATGAAAGTACCCCTTCTGTCAATTTCTTGTCTATCATGTTCTGATAGCTCGTTGAGTAGTCCAGGTTTGTCTTCAGGAGGTATGGCAATATCAGAGACAGAGTCTACCCATGACATAAATTTTGTGCCGAAGTTTTCTGAAAGGTATTTTTCAGCAACAGCTCCAGCTCAGACTCTACCAATGGTCTCTCTTGCAGAAGACCTTCCTCCACCACTAGAGGCCTTCGTACCATATTTAAGCATGTAAGTGTAGTCGGCATGGCCTGGGCGAGGTATTTGATTGAATTTGGAATAATCTTTATTTGTACACGTTCTCATTCTCCACAACTCAACAAATAGGCGTACCCAAAGTCTTGCCTCCCTCTATCCCACTCTGAATCACCACTAAAAACAACCCTCCTCAAAATCGCTTACCTTGATCCTTCTCACATCTCGGCGTGGTCAGGCTAAATCTCAGCTACAGCACTCACCTGTTCTGCCCAGGCTTCCGCCTGTCCAGATGCGGCTGCAGGTCAGACTCTGTAAGAGGCATCAGTGAAGGGACCCCTTCAATGATGCAGCCTACTGATTTGCCATGAGATTCACCGAACGTGGTTACTAGAGAGTCAGGCTAGAACTACCTTTGAAAATCTTCCCGAAACTTGACATTTATATTATGGATTCAATAATTCTTTTGAGGAAAGGGGTTTTGGGGTTTTGGGGTTTTGGGGTTTTGGGGTTTTGGGG